TCATGATCACATGGTGCATCCTCAACTCTTTAAAAGATGGAAAAGCAGTTAGATTAGCTCTGAAGCCACTCAATATTTGTTGCCAATGGTCAATGCACATTTGATGTACCTCTTGGAAAAATAACTTTTGCAATATGTATATTTTCATGCTTTCTTCTTTATTGCCAAATCATTTGAAAGTAGACTGCAGACATAATGTATCATGCTTTAAATACTTAGCATACACTCCCCAAAGTTAGAACACTCTTCCATGTAACCACACTACCATTACCACACCAGGAAAAACACTCATTTAGTAACATCATACAGTCCACAGCAAACAGTCTCAGTTATCCCCAAATCTCCTTTATAATTCTTCATGTTTTAAATTCAGAATCCAGTCAAAGCTTAGCATTATCATTAGTTCCAAGCTGTTGCTTTATTGGTGGCTTTTTTGTGAAGAGCTGAGGATTTCCATCTTTTTATTCATTTTGGATACCTTTGGAGTTTGTTGAACTTTGGTTTGCTTCAACATACTCCTTCTTTTCCCAGAACCAATTCTTTTAATATTTCTGTGTATATATAGTTCTTCTCATCTGTAAATTAAAAAAAAAAAAAATTTTGTTGATGAGAATATACATAGCAAAACATAAACCAATTCAGCCATTTTACATAAATAATTCAGTGGCTATCTTTGATGACCTTACATTCTTCTAGTTGCAGCCATTCTCAACCTCCTTCTTCTATTATCATGGACTCACTGCCCATTAGGGTTTCTGTAACAATGGCTGGCTGTGGCATTGTTGACCTCTTCTAACTTCACAAAGGATGAGGAGAATCACCATCAGCCTCAACCCAAGTGTGATTCCTATGAGGCGGAGGTGAGACGTGCCTCTACCCTCTAACCTTCATAACAATCCTGATACCAGTCATCCCTCCCATTGCATAGCCACACAGAACTCAGACTATAAATATAGTTATAGGGTTTATTAGGGAAGTAACAGGTTACTGTTTAGGATCATAAACATTCAGCATGTAGGTCAGCCTCTTCTCAGCTGTACCTGCAAGCATACCTCTTTCAGACTCTTGGCCCGTCCACCTGGAAACACCCCCACTCCCTTCCAGTTTTACAAAGCTCTTTTGCTGTTAGTGCCAGCCAGTCAATTTGCAAAAGCTCTTTCCAATCTGCTGATTTAAGCGCCCAGAGGCATCCCACTTTACAGCAAGCCTCCTGCCTGAGGCACTTAACACACTTGCTCAGTAGGCCAGGAAGCCCACTGTGACATCTGCTGGTCTCCTGGTTCTGTTGCCTTTGCTGCTGCTGCTTCTCTGCTATTGCTGCTTGCCATCTTCAGTGTCACAGCTCGCTGTCTCCTGGATTGGGTCCAAAGGACATGCTCCATTCCTGGCTCTTCCTTCTAGATAGTAGTGAGATCACCCTTTCTGCCTCTGGGGTGGCTCGTTTTAAAACTAGCAGGATGGTGAAACTGACCAATCCCCACGTTAGAGTTCCATACATTTTATTTACATGGTTCCACTCCCACAAGAACTGGAGAAAGATGAGGCTTTCTGTTTCTGAAAAGATTTATAGCTTCCCAAACCTTATATTTATTAACTGACAGCACTTAACAATAACAACAGTAACCCTATATAGAGTTGCTATGAGTTGAAAATGACTTGATAGCACTTCAAACAACAAAAACACCAACTCTCACAAGGGTGCTATGTACCTTATTTACATTATTATTAGCAAGCAAGATGTGGCATTGTAGAATAAGCACTGGACTGCTAACTGCAAGGTTGGAGGTTCAAACTCATCACCTGCTCCTTGGAAACTCTATGTAGGGTCACTCAGAGTCAGAACCAATTCCACAGCACTTAGCAACAACAACAACAACAACAACAACCCAGTCATTTGGTGGGAGTTACAAAGACTATGGCTAAGTAAGACAGTGCACCACAGTTTTCATCAGTAAATCTCATGTGCTGGCTTCACTCTTCCTCTTGAGTGACTTTCTATTCCTTTCTCCTTGAGGGGAGGCATAAAGGGGCACAATGACTCTTGAAAATGATCTTCCTTCTTGCTCTCTCCTGATTATATCCCTAGCATTTGAGAATGAGTTTGTTCCTGTCATAATCTCCAAAAGTCTATGGAATGTAACATTGGTTCAGATTCATTGCCTACCAATTAGTGCTCAAAAAATAAAGATGGTCCAGCCACAGGACTCTACCCCAGTGCTGTTGAGTTGGAATCAGGATTTCCTAGAGTTGTTGTTAAGTGCCATTGAATTAGTTTCAACATATAACAACCCTGTGTAGGGTTTCCGAGGAGCAGCTGGTGAACTTTAACCACCAACCTTGTGGTTCAAACCGACTTTGCAGTCCATTGCATTAGTCTACAGCACTGTTCTCCAGTGTCCACATGTGTAAAATGGAGCAAAGCAGGCATTTCTGGATTGAGATGAAAATCAGTGTTGTTATTAAGTGCTGTCCAGTTGGTTCCGACTTATAGCAATCCTGTATAGGGTTTCCAAGGAACAGCCGGTGAGTTTGAGCCACTGACCTTGTGGTTCAAACCGATCTTGCAGTCAAGTGCTTACCCTGATTGCCATACCAGGACTCCAATGATTGAGATGAAAACCAGTAGCCAGCCTAATTTTTTCCTCTGTGTGGTTGTTTTTACTTTCTTCACATTTATAAAGATAAACAAAAAGTGGGGTGGGGGTATGGCTTGCTTAATTAATGAAAGAGAAATGCAACATTTTCTCATGGTGTAGAAAGTTGCAAAGAAAATTATTTTTCTAATGGAGTAAAAATAAGCATTGTCTTAATTGGGAATCTCTGGCAGTTAGGCATGCATTGGGTTGCTAATCAAAAAGTCATGGTTCAAACCCACCAGACCCTCCTTGGAAATCCTATTTAGCGTCGTTGTGTTGGAATCAACTCAGTGGCACTTAACAACAATGAAATAGTATAGCTGTTATTTCCTGTTACTGATTGTTTATCCATATTTTTTGTTCAACTTTTTATTGTGAATTGAGTGAGGGTTTACAGAGCACATCATCAGTTTTATATTCAACAAATTATATACTTTGCTTCGTTACAAGGATTGCAATTCCCTCCATGTACCAACAGTTTACAGTATTTACCTCTAGTTACTTTATCTATTGTATTCCTCCCTGTGTCTCACTTCCTTCATCTTTCCTCTGCTAACCTCCTTCTTGTTATATATTGCCTGCCCTGTTACCTGTGTTAACATGTGTTTGGATTTATAGCCTCGGAAACCCTGTACAGGGTCGCTATGAGTCAGAACCGACTCCATGGCACATAACTACCACCACCACCATCTAGCATGTGAATAATTTCCCCTCACACCCCATAACCATCACAGATTATTTCTTTTATCAAGAAAACCTTTTTTAATTAACTTTTTACACCATTCGCCTCATACAATATTAATGCATTTGTGATTGACTAATTTCACTGAGCACAGTGTCCTACAGGTTCAACCATGTTGTGAAGTGTCTCACAGATTCATCATTATTCTTCAACATTTTGTAGTATTCCATTGTGTGTATGTAGTGTGGTGCTATGGGTTAATGCGCTAGACTGCAAAATCTGTTTGAACTGCAAGGTCAGCGATTTAAGCTCACCAGTCACTCCTCGGACACCCTGTATAGGGTTGCTACGGGTTGGAACTGACTCGACAACAGCATTTAACAACAACAAAATTTGTTTGGTTATTCTTCTGTTGATGGGTATTTAGGCTGTCTCCATCTTTTTGATAGGTCTCTTGTAGACAGCCTATTGATAGGCCCTGTTTTCATATCCATTTGGTTCTTTATGTCTCATTCTGCACTTAAGCACACTCATGAAAGCTTGTAAGCCAGCCACTGCATACCTTTGTTAGCCCCCACCCCCTTTTGATAGCCAGTGTCTAAATTTCTTGTCACTATCAACACAGTATACTGAAGAAATAATGTTGCTCCTTGATATGAAGAATCATTCCATTCCTGGTAGAATTTTGAGTCAGTGCATTCATAGGCAAAAGTCTAGTTCTTCAAATTGTAGCAATTTGCATTTTTTTCACTATCAAACATCTATATCTTCTTTTGTTCAAGTTCTGGTCAGCTAGTCATCCAAGCTAGGTCAATGGATACTAGCTGCAAGTTTGGGAGTTCATGCACACCTCTCTGCACTTCCGACCAGCTGGCTGCTTCACTCAGCCCTAGCTCCTAGGGGCTAGGTTAGTGCCCATGGGCTCAGGAATTCACACATCTTCCTAAACTTCAGACCAACCAGCCCTTCCTCTTCTCTCTCTCATCTCAGGGTCATTGGGAGCCAGTTATTCATATTTTCTGAGTAATTTTCAGAACTGTGTGCCAGTTACTGTTCTAAAACACTGGGTGCTGTTCTGGGTTCTGATTTAAAAACCAATGCTGTCAAGTGGAGTCTGACTTACAGTGACCGTATAGGACAGAGTAGAACTGCTGCCCCATAGGGTGCCCAAGGCTGTCAGGTTGTAAGAAGCACATTGCCACATCTTTCTGCCTGAGTGACTGGTGGGTTTGAACTGTTGACCTTTTGGTTGAGTGCTTAAATCACTGTACCATCAGTGATCCTCATGTTGATTATGATTGTGTGCTGTGGTCTTGGTTCTGACTCATAGTGGCCCTGTATAGGATTCTGAAGCTGTAAATCTGTACAGGAGTAGAAAAACTTCATCTTTCTCCCTCCGAGCGGTTGCTGGATTTGAACTGCTGACCTAGTGGTTAGCAGCCCAGGTCATAATCCACTATGCTACTAGGGTCCTTCATGTTGATTATAGTGTTGTTGTTGTTGTTAGGTGCCATCGAGTCGGAACCGACTCATAGCGACCCCATGCACAGCAGAATGAAACAATGTTCGATCCTGGGCCAACCTCACTACCGCCGCCACACCTGAGTCCATCAATGATGATTATAGTATGTATAAATTTATACTTTTTATGTCTTTTACAATTTTGATTTTGATTCTTCCAGGTTCTTCAGATAGATCCTGAAGTGACAGATGAGGAAATAAAAAAGAGATTTCGGCAGGTACAGTATTATTTTTCTGTAACAGAGTTTGAATCTTTTGAAAATGTATTAAGCACTTGATACTTTGGGCCAAAATTTAGCTTTTTTTTTTTTTTGTAATTGTTCTTTAAAAATAACTAAGTGATTTAAAATATTAAATAATTGAATAGCTATGTTTATCTGTGAATAAAATGAATTTTAAAATAATGTTTTATTGTAAATTATGTGATAGTTTACATCGTATATCGTTTCATTGCCATGGTTACAATCCCCTCCATGCATCATCAGCCAACCAAAGGGTATCCCTGCAAGCCTTACCCCTGGTCGTCAGCACACAGCCCTTCTCCCTCTCTGGGTCTAGAGTCCCCAGCTGTTCCATCTCTCCATGTCATCGTCTCTGCCTCCATCTCTGGCATCACTGCTTCTCTGGTTAGGGTCCTGCACTCCGCTCTTCTCCCATAATGGTCCCAGGGACCTCCGCTCCTGGACTGCAAAGTCAACCACTCCCCTTCTTTTGCTACAAAACATCCACCTTTATATTTCCAACCCTCACAGTCAGTCCTGATAGCAATTATTCACTATTGTACCACAAGAGTCCTATCTGCATCTCCTTTCATCAGCCCTACCCAGACAGATTGGATACTGCTCAGTGGAGATTCTACCTTCCTCTGTGCCCTCTGGATCTAGGCTCTCCTTGAAAGCTTGTAAGCCAGTTACTTCTTGCCTTTGTACACTCCCACTCCCATTTTGGGTAGCCATTGTCCAAGTTGCCCATCCCTGTATTCCCTGTATATAGAAGAGGTGGGAATGATCCTCGCTGTAAAGATTTGTCTCCTCTTTTGAGCTACTGCATCCAAAATGTCCAAACTTCATCTCTCATACTTTGAACATATTGTCAGGAGGGACCAGTCTCTGGAGAAGGCTATCATGTTTGGTAAGGTAGAGGGTCAGAGAAAAAGAGGAAGACCCCAATGAGATGGATTGGCCAAGTGGCAGCCTTGATGGACTCAAGCGTAGCAACAGTAGTGAGGTTGACCCAGGATCGGGCAACTTTGTTTTGTTCTGCTGTGCACATAGGGTTGCTGTGGGTTGGTACCGACTCGGTGGCACCTAACAGTAACAACAATCCATAGGTGTAGGTCAAGTTCATCAAATTGTATCAGATTATTCTTTTTTTCCTTTTCTTTTTCTTTCTTCTTCTAGTTGAGTTCTGGTCATCCAGCCATTGAAGCCAGGTTAAGTGGGTATTGTATTATCTGCAAGTGTGAGTGTTCTTGTGCATATGCCCTTTCTTCTTATCAGCTGGACGCTTCACTCTCCAGTCTAGTCCTCTGTGCCTATGTCACTGACTCTGTGCCTAGGAGTCCACAGGTCTTGCCACACTGCTGGCCAACCAGGTCTCTACCCCGGTTCACAGGAGTCTTTTGAACGTGGTAGGGCTTAGTTTGCTGCTTCATTGCTGTTTTTCCCTCAGTTCCCCTTATTGGTGACCAATGTGGTCACCAGTCAGAGCGCATGTCTGTTCATGTATTCCCATTGAGTCTTAGTCTTGGAAGGTGGTTTGCCCTGAGAGGACCCAACCACTTACCTTGATGTCTCCTGGGCTAGTAACTTGCTTGTTCTTGTAGTAGTCAATCATTGTTTTTGTTTTGTATTTTTCCTGTAGGTCTTTCTTTCAAGAAATATCTTCTGTTCTTTTGGCCACTCCAGGCTGGTCTGCTTGTCCTTTCAAGTGGAAACTTCCCACCTCAGAAGATTCTGGATGGGGTTCAGGATTCCACCTATGGTCTTATGTAATGCGGAGGCTCCACAGGAAGCCTCCTTCACTGGGCACTTTGTAACCCCATTTTAGGTATTCCAATCACTCGTAGGCAGAAGACGACTTACAAGCTTTCTATGGTGATATTTCTGGCTATTCCTTTCTGTCCCCCTCAAGTGTCTATTTTATAATGGTATGCAAGGGAAACCACACCCCATCCCTCAGTTTTATCTTTTTCTAACTAAATGAATATCCATGAGATACATAGTTTAATAATACAGAATAACCAGGAAAGAAGATCCACAAACTAATTCTTACCTATTCTGATGTTTAATAATGAGTTACAGGTTTTATAAGTGTCTTTTAAAAAACCCTTCCATGTTTGATAACTGAGTAACCAACCACTAGCTAGTTCTGCCATGAGTTGAATAATCACAGTCCCTATAATCTGTTTTTGCCAATGGCATTTTTGTTCTTTTTTTCCCCCCACTTTCTAATTTCTGTGTATTTCTTATGTACTTCATGTTTTAATAGGGCCTGACCAATGTAGAATATACCCCTCAGCTCCAGTATGACATACTTGTTGATACCCAGTATTATGCTTGCTCTTCAATAGTCATTTCCCCTGTATTGCTGACTCGTATCCATCTTCTGACCTGCTATGAGACCAGCATGTGTTTTTTTTTTGTCTTTGCCTACTCATTTTCCATTATATAACTTCATAGCCTTTTTTCATCCTGAGTTCTGCTCTGCACTTATGTTCAGTTTTTTTCCTCTTCCTAAAATTTTGTTTCCTAATGTAATGCATTAGTAGTCTTTACCAATTTAATAAGCAGGCATTCAAGTCCATTGTCAAAACAACTTTTCATGTAGTTACATAAAGAACTCAGGGTTTTTATTGAGTCATTAATATTGCCTCATGGTTAAAAGTGTTGGCATAGGAACTAAACTTGGTTGTACCACTTAATAAGCAGTGTGAGTTTGGGCAAGTTACTTTCAACCTTTGTACATGTGTTTCATCATCTGTAAAATGCACATAATGGTGCTTCTTCCTGGGTTGTTAAAAGGATTAAATGAGATAATATACATAAAACACTTAGACTAGGTCTTGGCTCACAGTATGCCCTCTGGATATATTTTTGTTGTGTGTTAGACGCTGTGCTAATTTCTTTCCTTATATTATTTCATTTTTATCGCATTCCAGTGAGATGTAGGTAACTAATATTGTCCCATTTACAGAGGAGGAAATGAAACTGGAGATAGACTAAGTGAATTGCTCAAGATCTTGTAGCTAGTAATTCATTGAAGTTGGAATTGGAATCCAGGATTCTGGCACCAGCAATGCTGGACTTATCATTTGGTTCCCACTTGCTGCTATCCCTTAACACTGTTCCCTCTGCTTCAGTTGGTTGGTTTCTCTATGCCAGGATAGTAGCTCAGTGGTTCTTTACCGTGGCTGTGTGGAAGAGTCGCCTGTGGAATGTTTTGTTTTTTATATTTTAACGAAAAAAGTTAGTTACACAAAAAGGAAAGAATAGAAAATAAACACCCCTGTTCTCAACCACATACATGCAGCAGCAATATTAACTATACGTATTTTGGCTAGACGTATTGCACTGGGCAAATCTGCTGCACAGGAACTTTTCAAAGTATTGAAGAGCAGAGATGTCAGCTTGAGGACTAAGGTGCGCCTGACCCAGGCCATGGTGTTTTCAATAGCCTCATATGGATGTGAAAGCTGGACAGTGAATAAGGAAGATCGTAGAAGAATCGATGCCTTTGAGTTGTGGTGTTGGAGGAGAATACTGAAAGTGCCATGGACTGCCAAAAGAACCAATAGATCTGTTTTGGAAGAAGTGCAGCCAGAGTGCTTCTTGGAGGCCAGGATGGCTAAGCTTCGTCTCTCATACTTTGGACATATTGTCCGGAAGGAACAGTCTCTGGAGAAGGATGTCATGCTGGGTAAGGTGGAGGGTCAGACAAAAAGAGGAAGACCCCTAACGAGATGGATTGGCCAGATGACATCACTGATGGACTCAAGTGTGGCAGTGGTAGTGAGGTTGGCCCAGGATCGGACATTGTTTCGTTCTGCTGTGCATGGGATCGCTATGAGTCGGTTCCAACTCAATGGCACCTGACAACAACAACAACATTTTGGCTAAATCATTGTACTCTGGTAGTGTAGTGGTAGTGGTGGTTAGGAGTAGGACTGCTAACCTCAAGGTCAGCAGTTCGAAACTATAGCTGTTCAGCAGGAGAAACATAAGTCTTTCTGCTCTTGTAAAGATTTACAGCCTCAGAAACTCTATGCGGGGACACTATGAATTGGAACAGACTCCACGCATACCATTACCACCACTTTCTTGCACAATTTTTCATACCTAACAAAAAGTAACAGTAGTTCCTTACTAATACCCAGTTAAGTAAAGATTTAAAAAGTATTATAGATGACACACACACACAAATATACATGTATAAAATTACAGATGCCAGAGACTCTGTCAGTTGTTCAGAGGGTGAAAAGTAGACCTCTGTATTTTTTTTTTAAAGCTTCACAGGGGGTACAGCCAGAACCACTGTTTTATTTTAGAAGTTCTTTAAGGAAAGAAATCATACCCACGTTATACTAGTGCTCAGAATAGGGACCATAATAGGAAAGTAGTAATTTTCAACTCTCCCATCCCTAAATGATCACAACATCTTCATAATACAAAGGCTTTCATTTGTTCTCAACTTTATGATTGAAGCCCTAAATGTTTCCCATTTGTGCATTTACTTTTTAGAGCTTGAATTTTGTTAAAAAACTAAATTTTTGTGCATGAAATTAAATAAAAAAAAAAAATGCTTTTAGCTAAGATAGTCTTTCCCCCCAGAGTAACACAGGTACAGGTCAAGAGTTACTAAATGTTCCTTCCTCTTTGACAAACCTAACTTTTTCTTATTGTAGTTATCTATCTTGGTGCATCCTGACAAAAATCAAGATGATGCTGATAGAGCACAAAAAGCTTTTGAAGGTATTTGTACATTTACCTACTTCTCACTAAATATTCTCAGTGCTAGAGACTAACTGTCCCTTGTCCTGGATCAAGAAAGGAATGTTCTAGTTTTGTCTTCTGATCATAAAGAAGCTGTGGTTTTCAGTAGAACAGTTGTCATTCCAAAACAGTGTTGCTATTTAAGTAGACCTTAATTTTGCTGTGTAAAACTTTTATCTGTCAACAAAGACTGTTACTATATTGGATCTTTTTTTCTTTTCTGAACATAAAAAAATTTGGAAATATTTTATCACAGAATTAAATCCAGATGTAGTATATTTAGTCTTATGTGTAGATTTAATTTTCTTCAAGCCTCTTGGAATGCACTGCTTTAGTTGTATGTTTTTAAATTAGTTTAACAATAGTAAATAACAAACTAGGGAATGCTTTTAGATGGCACAAGCCCATTTACACTGCCTGAGTACAGTTCAGACTTTCAGAGGGTTTTTGCAGAAACAGTTAATTTCAATGTTTTGCATTAGCTGTGGACAAAGCTTACAAGTTGCTACTGGATCAGGAGCAAAAGAAGAGGGCCCTGGATGTAATTCAGGCAGGAAAAGAATACGTGGAACACACTGTAAGTATTTATAGTGTTGCTGGATTTATAGGAAGTACCAGTAAGTTTGGGGCAACTTGTCGGAGGGTAAATGTTAGTATAGCAATGCCTACTGGATTAATTTATGGCCACTTAAGTGGTCTCCACCACTTTGCTATGGTAGTCAAGAATAGTGTGTGGCTACAGTTGTAATAAACCCTGAGAGCCCAGGGACAGAAAAGGCTGGGACATCAATCTCACCTCTTTCCCTACCAGCCCTGTGTTTTGGCCAGAGAGCTGTTCTTACTCTTTTGTTGCAGATTGCCAGGTTACCCCAGTCTGAGAATGGAAAAGTGGAACTGTGCTGTTAGTTTGACTTTTGAGTTTTATGATTGTTCCTGTGAAGGGTTGGAATGTGGGCTTTAAAGAAACCTGGCAAGGAGCTATAAGAAATATTTGAAAATAGTAATAATATCAGGCATGGGAAGGACCCATGAAAAGAAATTCAGTTAGCTAATATTACTTTTTGCTCTTGAGGGTGTTATCTAACTTTCCTATGTAATGGGAAATGTTAGGATGGCTTGATTAAGGTAAGAAATGCTTTTTTTTTTTTCATTTTTAACTTAATGAGGCAAGAATCTCAAGACCATTTCTAAGAGCTGTTTCAGTGTCAGTGTTGTAAATAAGTATTGAAAGAGTATGGATGTGAACTTCCTTTTGAAGAGCTTTAGCATCTGAGGCAAGTTTATGACCAATAATAATGAGCCCAATTTCAATGAGGAAAATGGATAAAAGAGGAAACAAAGCACAATAATATAGCCTGCTAGTTGTGTATTGGAAATGATAGCATCTACAGGCCCAATTTTGGTAGAACTTAGAAAAGTGCTTGACAATTTCTCTTTAAATCATTGTGGCAGAAATACCCATTCTGTCTTTAGCCTGTAAGAGAGCCACCTTTAGGTTTCCTGACCACAAGGTGGCAGTAGGACCTTTCTGAGCTAGGAAGACACTTGGGTTTTTTTTTTCTTGGTGTGGTAAAATGAATGATTATTTAATGGCATAATGTCACATTTATGTGAATGGGTATATTCTTTTTTTTTTCTTTTTTCTCTTTTCTATTTCAGTGGTAGCCAAAGTTGTAGAAGCATTATTAATATAGTGTGAAAATTATTCGATTAAGGCAGGGGTGGGGAACGTTTTTTCTGCTAAAATTTATAACATCATTCACAGACCATATAAAATTATCAACTTAAAAAAGTAGCTTGTTATATTTGGTCAAACAATTTAATTAATTCACCCCTAATGTGATGACTTCTGGTGTGGTGCTATAGGATCAGCCCTGGACTTTGAGCCACAGGTCAGCAGTTCAAGCCCCACCACCACCACCCAGACGCTCCTTGGAAATCCTATACTGGGTCACTATGAGTCAGAACGGACTTAATGGCACTTAACAGCAACAGCAGTGTGATGGCTGGAACTGCTGCTGTCTTGGTTGGGCCAGACCAAATGATTTTGTGGGTCTTACTTAGCCAGAAAACCTTAACACCCCAAAACACTAAATTCCTCAAATTTTGTAGCTTCTTTTAAAACTTGACAAAATATGCTGAGTTTGCTAAAACATAGGGTCCCAAATTGCACAAAGTAAATGGTTAATCTGTTCAAGGTATCAAACGTTCTTTAGATTTGACATGAGATCTAAGAGTTGAGGACAACTCCTAGCTGGTTCCCCTTCACCTTCTGGGTAGATTGGCTTTTAGATGAGGTTGGAGAAGATCCATGGGTTCTGGTGTTTCTTGATTGCATCAGTGGTTTGGGAGTTAGAGTTGAGGGGCTTATGTTTTTAATATAAACATTTTGTTAAATCTAAGGTACCTTAAAAAAGTACACGTGTGTAAGTTTTGATGCATATTTTCAAAGTGTGTGCTAATCTTTTGATGAAAACGTGTTTGTTTCTTTTTTTTTTTTTTAGGTGAAAGAGAGAAAAAAGCAGTTAAAGAAGGAAGGGAAATCTACAAATGTAGAGGAAGATGATCCTGAGCTGGTGAGTTAAATATGGAGAATCACTCCTTATTTGGGTGGTTGGGTTCAGTGATGAGTAGGTTTAAACAGAGTGAACCTAAGGAAGGATGCATATGTGCTGTCAACATTTTATATTTTAATGTAAAACATTATAATGCATATTTATTCACTCTCTTTTTGATGTAGAGCTTTTGAGTGTGGATCTCCAGATTGGAGTTCCCTGTTGACTTTATTGTATAAAACACAACATGCAAAGCATTACCTATCATTTCTACTTTTAATTTCTATTCAAGTACATTGAAAACTTAGGTACTTGTGAATCAAACTAAGAGCAAAATCCTAGCTATTTATGATTCTTAGTTCACCTGTAGCTAATCCAACACAAATTATTTTTAACGACTCATGTGTATTGAATCTTGTGAAAGCGTTCCACTGTCTTTCAAAGAAACACATTTCTGTAACCATATTTATCAGTGCCTATGATAATTAAATTACATAACCACAGTAAGAATTGCAATGGGCATCAATAGCTTTGGCAAGAATTACAACTAATTGTTGATAAGTAAGTAGACAGCTGCCTGTTAGCCACAGCACCTTTTGTGTTCCTGATAATGTTTTCCAGAGCAAATGAAGCAAGCTGGCTAATCCAGTGAGTTGTTTAGTGGAGAATGGCTAAGGGAGTCTGTGAGGGGGGTTCCAGGTTCATGGAAAATTGCAATTACAAGATATAATGGATTTTTTCCACATACCTTTTGAAGCTCCTGTAGTACTCAACTATGTGTGTATAATTGCCACATTAGCCTGAAAAATTTCAAATCATCTTAATCTTGTCACAAATTAGGTCAGTGTTTAATTTATCCCATCTACTTGTCCGATTGTCCAAGGTCTATGGAGGAGAGTCTGACTTACTAGGGAAACGTCCTTCTTATAACTTGTTGCTTCAGTGATTTTGCCAACCCTGATTGGTCCCATCTTTGGTTTGTCATACTGTTTGAGAACTATTATATCTTCCCTTGTTATTGTTGTTGTTAAGTGCCATTGAGCTGGTTCTGATTCATAGCAACCCTGTATAGGGTTTCCTGGAAGGACCAAAGAGCATTTGAAAGTCATCAGTAAAGACTATAGAGGACAATTAAAAGGGAGGAGAAATAGGACTGAGAGGAAAATACAAAGTACTATGACAAAGTACACCCCAAAATAAGTGGCTAGTAGGGAATATATGAAATCCTAGTGTGGCACTGTAAGATAAGTGCTGGATCACAAGGTCTGTTTACACTGAAGGGTTGGTGGTTCAAACTCATCATCTGCTCCTCAGAAACCCTATACAGGGGCTGCTGTGGTCAGAGGAGACTCCACGGTACTTCCTTGTTGCAACAACTCCTGTAAAGATTTTTAGTCTCAGAAACCCTAAGGAGCCATTCTACTCTGTCTGTATGCATTACTCTGTATCTCCGCACCAGGACTCTATGTTGTTGTTAAGAGCCATCAAGTTGGTTCCAACTCATAGCGACCCTGTATAGGGTTTCCAAGGAGGAGCTGGTGGGTGTAAATCTCAAACCTTGCAGTTAATAGCCCAGTGCTTTTCCTACAACTCCACTCAGGGACCCTTTTCATAAGATATAATGTAATGTACTTTTTCAAACTCTGCCTTTCTGTTTCAACTTAGTATTTTACTATCTGTTTCTGTTAGAGTATAAGTTCAGCTTTTTATGAGTGAGACCCAAAATGGTGATGGTTTGAATCAAGATAGCCCTGGGCTGGTATGCTGGCACTACTGCATCATATGTCTGTCTCCTCTTTCTGTGACTATGCCAAAAGGATAATGCCTCCATCCTTTTAGTTTAAGATGTCTTATCACCTCACCCATATGCCAAACAGCAAACTAGTGGAAGGGGCAGGTGGGTAGAAAGGACAAACCGGATTTTCTAAGAACATTCCAGAAAGCTGTGTACATTAGTTTTCTTTACATTCCATTGACTAAAACTTAAGTTACATGGCCACAAGTAGCTACAAGGTAACATATGGAAATAGGCTTTATGTTGGGTGAACGTGTGTCTTAAGAGAGAACTGATAATGGGGTAGGAAAGAGCAACTAATGCCATGGATTGAAAGGTCAGTTTAGAGCCACAAGGTCAACTGTCCACACCCACCAATCGATCTTCAGAAACCCTCTACAGGGTCACTATGAGTTGGAACTGACTTGATGGCACTTAACAACAACAGCAACAGGTCTACATAGTCAGTAGGCCCCTAAGACTAGACTGTTTGGTAGTAACTTTGTATTTCTAGTACCTAACTTGATATCTGGGCCTAGAATACTTTGTGAAAAGAAAGAGTTTTATTTTTTATAAGTTTTGAAGAAAGGGCCTTTTAAAACCCAGGTGATAGTAATAAGTAGAGACTTATTTTTTTCTGATTGGGTGTTTTTTTTTCCTGCTTTATATATTTTGGATCTCTTTCATTGGGAGCATACATATTTATTATGGTTATGTCCTCTTGTTCAATTGTCCCTTTAAGCATGAGATAATGTCCATCTTTATCTACTATGCTGGTTTTTGCCTTAAAGTTTACTTTATCAGAGATTAGTACTGCCATTCCTGTTTGTTTTTGATAGCAATTAGCTTGGCATATTTTTTTCCCCATCTTTTGACTTTTAATCTGTGTTTGTCTCTGTGTGTAAGATGTGTCTCTTGCAGACAGCATATTGAAAGATCTTTTTTTCTTATCCATTCTGCCACCCTTCTTCTCTTAACTGGTGCATTTAATCCATTTACATTCAGTGTAGTTATCGATAGATATGGATTAATTGCTGCCATTATGTTTGTTTTTTGTGTGTGATGTTGCTGCTTTCTTTGTTCTGTGTGTCTTCCCGTGCTGAGTTCATGGTTTTTGTGTTCTTTTTTGCAAGTTTCCTCATAGTTTTAATGTTTCCATGTTCTTCTTGAATTTTCATTCTCTTGGTATGTTGTGAAGTGTTAATTTTTTTTGAGGTTGCCTTATAGTCCATTAACTTTTCTCTCCATTTAGTGCAGTCTATTTTGTCCTGTAATCTACCTGACCTTCTCACCATCTGAATCTCTGTTCCTACATGTTTACCTTCATTTATATTGTAATTGTTTTGATCATACACTGACCTTCCAGATTCTCTGAGTTTGTTCTTCAATTTTTGTTCTGTTCTCGACTCTTCCATCTGGCGATTTAGTTCTGGGAGGTGCTTCCATGTATGTCAGTCTCTGGTTGTTGTCTGTTCTTGTTGGTTCTCTGTCCACAGAACTTCCTTTAGGATGTTTTGTAGCACAGGGTTGGCTTTGGCAAAATCCCTTAGCTTCTGTTTATCCTGGAATGTTTTAATTACACCATCGTATTTGATTGATAGCTTTGCTGGATAAAGGATTCTTGGTGGGCAGTTTTTTTTTCAGGGTTTTATATGTGTCTCCCCATTGTCTTCTTGCTTGCATGGTTTCTGCTGAGAGATCCGAGTTTAATCTGACTTGCTTGCCTTTGTATGTAACGTTTCTTTTTTCTTGAGCTGCTTTCAGGATTATCTCCTTATCTTTGATTTTGAAGAGCTTGATTATGATATGTCTTGGTGATTTTCTTTTGGGGTCTATCCTTCCTGGGGTGTGTTGAGCTTCTTGAATGTTTTATCTTTTCACTTTTCAGGATGTTAGAGAAATTCTCTTCCAGCAGTTTTTCCACTATTTCCTCTATGGACTAGTGTGATTCTTTTTGTTCTGGAATGCCGATAATTCTTAAGTTATTCCTCTTCATGTTGTCCAAGGAGGATCTTAGACCTTCTTCAGGGTTTTTTTTTATCCTTTTTTCTGCTTGTTCTTCTATCTTAGTGGTACTGAGAGATTTGTCTTCCAGCTCACTAGTTCTGCCTTCCATCTCATCTGTTCTACTCCTTTGCCCTTTCAGTGAATTGTCTTTTTGTGATATTCTGTCATTGATTGTTTGAACCTCTTTCTGTAGGTTTTGAATTGTTTTCAATGCTGTATCTATCTTATTTGATTGTTCTTGTAAGCACTTTCCTGACTTCTTCCTTATTTTTCTCATCTCCATTGTAAAGTGTTTTGAAACATTTTATAATCATTTTTCTGAATTCCAAGGCCTGCCATCCTTCCAGAATGTAATCCAGGTCTATCTCTAGGTCATTTAACTCAGGCATTTTATCTTATTTATGGACCTATGCTAATATGGTCATCTGCTTTTGCTTCTTGGACATGTTTAGTGTTTATCTGTGGCCTTACTATGTAATTGAGTGTGTGTTTTGGTATTTTTTTATGCTTTCTGATTACCTCCAGGTAGATGTGATCAGGATATGGGCTTCCCTTTTCACTCTTCTTATTACTAGTTTAACTCAGAGTAATTTTCGCAGGTGGTGTCCGCCTCCCTGGTATATGGCAGTTGGTATTGGTTCTTGCCTGAGTTGTGGGGTTTTATAGGGTGTGATTATAGCTTAACTACAGGGCATCAATTGTTGTCTCTTCTTGGGTAATATAGGGAGAGAATGAGTCCCCCAAAGGTAGAAAAAAACCTCATTAAAACAAACCAAAAAAACAACAACTAAAAAAAAAAAACTAGATTGGGTACTGTAATCTATAATCACAGAAAAGGGAGAGAAGGAAAAAATAATAATCTGTAGCCTAATATGAGTATGATTTTAATACCCTCTTTCATCTTGTCTCCAAGGCCACCTGATAAATTTCAAGATGCCACTCTTGGTTGTTATGCTGTTTTTTGGGATTTAATTTTCAGCCTGTTTTGTTTCTACACTTCTTGTTCTGTCCTTTTCCCTATTAGTAAACAGTTCAGGGCCAGCTGTGGCCATTTTGAGATGCCTGTAGCTTTAAATGCTGAGACTATCTGTGCGCATACGTGGCAGAAGAACCCAGCAGTGGTGGAGGTGGGGCGTGACCACTTGCTCAGGTACCCACTCTAGTCACCAGAATGAAGGTGCACAGACAGTGGGGGGCCAGTGAACAGATACCAAAAAAAAAGTAGAAATCAGAACAAAGCAAAAGTGTGAACGTATATTGTCCACCTTTGCTCCGAGGCTCCCACGGCCTTATTCCTTGGCTGGTCTGCGTGCACCCCACCTTGGTCTTGTTGCTTGGTCTCGCCCAACTTGTCTGCTACTCTGGGCCGCTGAGCCAGGCAGATTCTAAAGTACAAGATTTCTTACTTCTGCTACAAGTTCCACTAGCTATAAACCTTCAAACTTTAAAAATATTCCTAAATATGTGGCTCAGCGTTTTGGAGCTCTGCCCTGAACCTGCTTTGCTTGGTATTCTGTTGTATTGTTGTCGGAAAACTTCACCTCTACCCTATCCGCCATCAAGCCCCGCCTCCTTATTGGGTGTTTTTATCGGAACAAGTTAAGGCCTGTCATTTGCATGATAAGGTGGAGAGGCATCAGAGGTGACTGTGTTATTTATCTCCCAAGAGAGATGAGTTCTTCAGTCTTCCCTTGATGAGTTCTAATCTGCTTCTGACTTGGGCTCCATTTAAAAGCTCTTGATTCAGGTTTCTGGTAAAATTTTTACTGTTCTTTGGTTCTTACTTTTCTTGTAGTTCAAACAAGCCGTGTATAAACAGACCATGAAGCTCTTTGCTGAACTGGAAATTAAAAGGAAAGAAAGAGAGGCCAAAGAGATGCATGAAAGGTACTTTTTCAGTGTATTTATTTAAACCTTACTAAATACCTAAATTGGAGACCTGGTGTGGCGCTGTGGGTTAATGTGCCAGACTGCAAACCTGTTTGAACTGGAAGTTCGGCTGTTCAAGTTCACCATTCACTCCTTGGAAACCCTATACGGGGTTGCTATGGATCAGAACTGACTCAATGGCACTTAACGACAATAGCAACAACAAAATACCTAAATTAACCAATAATGGTCTTTGGGAAATTTTCCTAATGAATTATATGGTATATCATTGAAGAGATCAACTAAAATCGTTATCTGAAACAGCCAAGCTTTTGAATCATCAGGGTAAGCAATTTTCACTTTAACTTTTGGGAAATATTGAATAGATCTGTCCTTAGGGAGTTTACAATCAAGAGTGCTTGGCTGTTTGTTTTCTTCCTGACTTCCCAGAATAAAATAGGCCATTGTTTGGGAGGCCAGAACCTTTTGTGTGATTAGTGGCTGCTACTGTAAGTGTGTAGGACTGTGCAGTATTATTCTAAATTTGAAATCCCTTGCTCATCAGAAGTCTTGAGGTTAGTTTAGCATATGTATTTTATATTGTTATTAGTGTTTAACAATAACTATATTTTGCTAATTGAGGTTATTGTGTGAAATATCCTTGTCTTAAGTAGGGTTTTGTCTAGAGAACCTCTTGAGTAAGTACTTCTGCCACTAACCATTCTTCTGCTTGATATCAGAAGTAAGGTGGCCTGGGTTCTTGGCAGAGCTTTGTTATTGACCCAGACCTCAGTTTATTATTGATTGGGCTTTGATTGTTATATCTGTTTGTATAACAGAAATACTTATATCTGGCCCCAAACCCTAGAATGAGAAATTCATGGAAGTACTTTGAGCCCTAGTTAGATAGCCAGCGCTGGAGCATCCTCTAGAGAACTGATTTTATTGGCCTGCTTCTGTGAGAATTACCTTAACATACGTGGTTAAATGTCATATAAGTACTGTGGTCTGGTTTTCCTTCTAGGAAGCGACAAAGGGAAGAAGAGATTGAAGCTCAAGAAAAAGCCAAACGAGAAAGGGAGTGGCAGAAAAACTTTGAAGTAAGTTTTCAAGGTGGCCAGAAATTTTTAGTCCGAAATTTAAAAAAAACAACAAAACCTTCCCAGCAAAGACACTTGATCCCTGGGACATCTCCACAGACAGGGAAATGGGCTATGCAGGGAAGAGTGGGAAATACGGAGAATGAGTCTGTGTCCTGGCTCATCTAACTTCAAGCTCTGTGGCCTTGAGCAAATGGGGTGGATCCCTGAGTGGTGTTTTGTTTTGCTTTTTCAGCAGTTGTGGTAGGCAGAGCTGCCTACTGGGCTCAAGGAAAATGATTTGTATATTGGGGGTAAATATAGACTAGCGCCCTTGATTGTTGTTGTTGTTGTTAAGTGCCATCGAGTCGGTTCCGACCCATAGCGACCCTGTACAGGGTTTCCGAGGGTGTAAATCTAGAGGCCTGATAATAGTAGAAACTGAGGTTCCTGTGATGCCTCCATTTGGCCTGCAGGAATAGCTAATGGCTTTTGAACTTGACTCCTCTTATGACCCTGATTTATATTCTGCAAGTGTTCAGGTGATTTCCTGACTTCTAGCAACATTTGATCTTATATAGAATTTAGGACTCAGGGTAAGTATGGCTAACCAGAGTTTCCTAACTTTGTTTCTGGTTATGAGAAATTAGCAGATCCTTTGATTAGGAGGAAGAGATCCTAGTGAAACTCAGCATAACTGGCTAAGCATTGTGCTTGCTTTGAGGTATCCCCCCCCACATGTTGGGGCATGGCAGGAAAATGAAATGGAAAGACTGGCTGCCCTGCTGGTTAGTTTATGACCTTAAAAAACGATTCAGCCTCTCTGAACCTCAGGGTTAGGATTTGTGAATTGTGGGTGACAGGACACCTTAAGTCTTTGTGAGAAATAACATCTAGTCCAGAGGTCCCCTGCAATGGTAATCTCATTGTTCTGGGGGAGAGTTAACTTACTTTGCCCCTCTCCTCTTCCAAAAAGGAGCTCTGGTAGTGTAGTGGTTATGAACTGGGTTACAAACCGCAAGGTCAGCAGTTCGAAACTACCAACAGTTCCATGGGAGAAAGATGAGGCTTTCTGCTCCCATAAAGATTTACAGCCTCAGCAACTCTGTACAGGGTCGCTATGAGTCGGGACCGACTCCACGGCACATAACCAACCAACCAACCAACCTCTTCCAACATGAAGCTCGTCCAGCCTTCTAGGGGTGATGCGACATTTCCCTGCATTTATTGAAATGGGAGAAAAGTTCTACTCTGTTTTGGTCTTAAGGAGCCCTAATGGTGCTGGGGATAAGATGTTGGGCTGCTAACCACAAGGTAGGTAGTTCAAATCCACCAGCTGCTCCTTGGGAAAGATGAGACTGTCTGTTCCTATAAAGATTCAGAATGAACTCTATGACCGTGGTTTTTGTTCTGCTCTTGGACCATTCCAGAAGACAGGGCAGCAGGAGGATAGGGAGGATGCCAGAGCAGGTTGAGGCCCTTCCCTAATTAACTAGCTTCCTCACTTCACATTTTTTTTTTTTTATTTAGGAAAGTCGAGATGGTCGTGTGGATAGTTGGCGAAATTTCCAAGCTAACACAAAGGGGAAGAAAGAGAAGAAAAATCGGACCTTCCTTAGACCACCAAAAGTAAAAATGGAGCAACGTGAGTGACCACCTGAGGTCACAGCCACAGAACCTTTCTCCAACTGCTCCCCACTCCTGCTTTGAAGGACTCATTCTTTCTTCCCACCCATACCCCAACATAGAGTAGTATTTGCTTTTTAGTCCATTTTGTTTTAATACAATTTAATATCAATCAGAATAATTCTTTTGTACATTGAAATGAGGGGATTGGTTTAAAAAAATAAAGGCCTTCCCCACTCCCTACCCCCAGAGTCGCCAGGAAAGGAAGGTGCCATCCCCCATGCTCCTTCTGTTCCCACAGCCTGTAACTTCATGTTTTGTACTTCACTGAATTGTGATGGTTAGAAACTTTGTGTATAGTTTATGGAAATCAGCCAATTAAACATGTTGCTTAAAATGGTGTTGCAGTGACTTCTGAGACAAGCCTGGACGTCTTAGGAAGCCCTTTTGTCTTCAGCTGCTTGCTTCTGGGCATGGCATCTTTTGACGCCCCAAGTCGGACAGGGAAGGCGGTCACTCAATGCCCTGCCGCCCCTCCTAATCTGACTGATGAATCAGCGTGGCACGAGGCTCAGAGCTACCCAAACCTGTTCCCTTTCCAAAGAGCCAGCTGTCCTCTCTCCAGTACCATTGTGTCCTAGCCTGTCTGTATTCATTAGTAGTAAAACTCTGTATGTGGAATAAATTTTTATACCCAAACCACTGGTACACTTTTCCTTAGGCATTATTCCAAGGGTGGGGTCCCTTGTCTGACTTGGCCCAACAGACTTGGCTCCCAACCACATATAAGTTGAAACTTAGTCTCTTTGTTTGCAAAATTGGGCTATAAATTACATCTTTTTTTAGGCTTTTATTGTGAATTGAGTGATAGTTTACATAGGAGAACATTGGTTTTGCACTCATCCAACCATATTTCATTTCATTGCAATGATGACATTCCCCTCCGTGTATCATCATTCAACAGTATTTGCTTCTGTTCCCTCTGTTTTTTGGATGTACACAAAAACACTCAGGAATATAAAATATTAAACAATCAAGGGGTACATTCTTGGCTGCCAGCACACAGCCTTTCTTTTTCCATGAGTCTAGAGTCCTCAGTTGCTCTGTTTCTCCAAGTCCTCATCTCTGTCTCCATCTCTGGTGTCACTGCTTCTCTGGATAGCGTACCACATTCTGCTCTTGCTCGTCTCCCTTGATGGTCCTAGGGTCCTCTGTTCCTGGACTGTAAGATTAACACTTCCTCTCTTTATGTTACAAAATTTCTACCTTTACAGTTGTGACCATTGCAATTAGTCATGATAACAATTACTATTGAATCAGAAGAATCCTTTTACTAGACCCATCTAGACAATATGAAAACTATTCAGTGGGGATTCTACTACCCCCACTCCCACCACCACCCCCACACACACTCGCACACTGAAACTAACTCCCTCTTGAAAACTTGAAAGCTATCCATTTTGTGCCTTTTGTAGGCTCCCCCCCCTACCAAATGTCTAAGTTGCCTGTCCCTATCAACCCTGCATACTGAGGGGATCGACTTGATCTTTGATGTGAAGATAGCTTTTCCTCTCAGTAAATTACAGCATCTTTTAAGGAAGATTAGCGATGGTATATATAAGATATAGTGCTCAGTGGTTGTTACTATTATGTTATTATTTATCTATAAAGCAAGGATAGCAATCATTGTGAGGATTAAATAAGATAATGTATGTGAAGTGTCCGACTCACAGTATATACTCAACTGTCCTGCTTGCTCTTGAGGGACAGGATTAGCCCTTGAGAGGAGAATAAAAATGACACCAAAATGTGAAGATAAGAGGAACCAGGTGACTCAAAACGAGACATTTTGCCTTTTACAATGTCTGTATCTTTACAGTGTCATGTCTGCCTTATAGATTCATGTCTTGTGTGTGTGTGTGTGTGTTATATCTTAAAGTATCAAGAGCTACTTCAACTTTGATTTGCTTCTCCATGGGAGAGGACAGAAACCTAAATGCAGATGACCACATGGAAACCGCAAATGAATTAGACCACAGGTGGAGTGGGTGCAACTTTAGCTAAAACTGGACCAAGCAGAGGGAGGAAAACTTGTCCCCATTTTGCGAGGTGATGTGTGCCATGAGTTAATGTGGACTGTCCTGAGCAGGGAGAAGCAGCTGCCTGTCAACGTGACCCTCCCCTTCAATATGTCAGTGCACATTTAGGTTATGTGGTGGTCATTCAGTGCAGCTATCCACAAGCCCTCAAGGACACTGTGCCAGCATTCAGCTACTGGTATGGTATACTCACTCATTCAACAAGATGCAGGTCTGGGAATAAAGTGATGAAGGCTCCTGCTGCCTTGCTCAACTACCAAGGTGCATGAACTAGACAATAGGCCCAGTGCTTATGAAAGGCACCTTGTGGGACCACTGCGCCAATGAGGGGACCTTTAATCCTGTTCTTAGCAGCCAATAGGAAATGACTTTTTTAAAAGTTGGACCCTGGAGGAAGACACATTAGGAATGTTTTCAGCTGCAAGGGATAACTAGTATAAGCAATTTGGAATATTTATCTGACCTAGCACAAAGTGTCCCAGGGCTATATTCTTTCACCATACTTATTCAATCTACATGCTGAGCAAATAATGTGAGAAGCAGGATTTATGAAGAAGACATGGCATCAGAATTGGAGGAAGACTCATTAACAACTTGTGATATGCAAATGATGTAACCTTGCTTGCTGAAAGTGAAGAGGACTTAAAATATTTACTTATGAAGATGAAAGAGCACAGCCTTCAGTATGGATTACACCTCAATGTAAAGAAAACAAAAATCCTCACCACTTAACATCGTGAAAAATGGAGGTAAGATTAAAGCTGTGAAAGATTTCATTTTGCTCAAATCAACCATCAACACTCATGGAAGCAGCAGTCAAGAAATCAAAGGACATACTGCTTTAGGCAAATCTGCACAAGACATCTTACTTAAAGTGTTCAAGAGTAGGGATGTCAGTTTGAGGACTAAGATGCGCCTGACCCAAGCCATGGTATTTTCAGTAACCTTTTATGCATGTGGAAGTTGGACAATGAATTAGGAAGACCGTAGAAGAATTGATGCATTTGAGTTACGGTTGGAGAAGAATATTGAAAGTACCATGGACTGCTAGAAGAATAAAACAATCTGTGTTAGAAGCACAGCCAGAATGCTCCTTGGAGGCCATGATGGCCAGACTTTGTCTCTCATACGTTGGACATGTTGTCAGGAGTAACGTTACTGGAGAAGGACATCATGCTTGGAAAAGTGGAGGGTCAGAGAAAAAAAGGGAGGCTCCCAATGAATTGGATTGGCACAGTGGAAGCAGCAATGGGCTCAAGTGTAGCATTCATTGTGAGGTTGGCCCAGGATCGGGCAGTATTTCATTTTGTTGTGCATAAGGTCACTATGAGTCTGATCCTATTTCAGTTACCTGACAACCACAACAACAGCACAGAGTGTGGATATAGGTAGTTTTATACTTTGTCCATGGGTTCAACACTGCCACCAAGGAAGCAGGCTCTTGCTATGCTTTTCATCCTCAGGAAGGCTTGTCACCTCAGTTGCAAGAAGGCATGGTAGTGCCATACTTCATGCCAACTCCCAAGCAGAAAAAAGTCATACAGGAAGCAAAATCTGCCAGAAGATGTGATTGGCTATAAAATGGGTCATATGGCCACCTCTACCTGTAACAGATACTGGGAAAGTAGCAAAGGAGAATGCACAAGCCCCAGACTGCACAGCTGGGCACCTGCTGTTTCCAATAATGCAAAGTAGTGTTTCCAAGAAGAAGGGAGAATGGCTGATGGGGCAACTAAGAGTGTTTGGCACAGGTGGGGAGGTGGTCCAGTCAGAGGAAACAGCATGTGCAAAGCCCCAGAGGTCAGAGCAGGATCCATTCATGGAATTAAAAGGCGTTATGTCTACAGCATAGACGCAAAGTGAGGTGAGACCAAGAGGTACATACTAAGGAATTTGTATTTTTAGCCAGGGTCCCATTTTCCCAAAGTACCCCATTCCATAATAGGCACATTTTAGCCACCGCTCTACCTAGAAGAACAGAAGTGGTCTTAATTCATTCTCAGAACCTTAACTGCGCAATCTTTTCAGTGATGACCTGGTTAGGGAGGGAGTGTGAGTTTGGCATTGCATTGAGGCAGCATTAGTCAAAAATTAGACTCTAGGGTAGGAGCGGGGGCTTGGCAGCTTCTGCAGACCCTTCTACCCATGAATGGATTAAGAGACACCTGGAGGCAGGAAAGGCAGAGAGTGTGCAGAGAAGAAAAGGTTGGATGAGCTACGTCACTCCTCTTCATAGGTCTGCTGCAAATAATGGAGCAGAGAGTGAATGCCCCACTCCTTAGTTGCTGCCTGTGGGACAACTGAGGGTGGAGGTGAGGTAAGAGGCGCTAGGCTGGGTCAGAATCCCTGGCAAGAGTCTACCGCTTTGAACCTCAGCCTCCTCATATATAAAGTGAGAATTGCAATTGAATGGTAACAGGAAGTACCAGTCCTTAGGGCCTTTGGTAGTCTAGTCACGTCACACTGACCACCACCTCTCCTATCCCCTCCTATGCACTGCCTTGTAGTGTCACAGCCAGGCCAGACCTGGCCTTCTTTCATTTCCCAGGGGCCCCAGTTGAGATGGAAGTATGTGGGAGGCTGCAGATGAGTCTGGGCCTGTGTTAAGAATGGAACTTAGCAGGATTTGCCTTCATTCCATTTCCTTTCTCCTCTCTACTGTGTCCCTCCAACTAGCCACCAACCCCTTACCTAACTCATCTGCACCATCTGTCTTCTTGCAGGAGGTTATCGATGCTTCTGATCATTGGAGTGGGGGTGGTGATGGTGGTGTGCTGTGGAATCAGTTCCAATTCATAGCGATCCTGTATAGGGTTTCCCATAAATCTTTATGGGAGCAGAAAGCCTCATCTTTCTTCCGCAGAACAGCTGGTAGTTTCTAACTGCTGATGGTCAAGTTAGTAGCCTGACTCATCACCAGCATGTTAC